CGGGCGGGCGAGCATTGCGCTGCCCCTTGCCCGGCGGCGGGGCGGAGGAGCCGACCGGCCTGTCAGCGGGCGGCCGCTCGCCGCGCCCGACGACCGGCGCCCGACGACCGGCGGGAGTTAGGCTGCAAGGAGCGGGGCCGAGACGGCGCCGGGAGCGTCTGGCTGTGCTGGCGTTAACGCCTGACATTCAAGCGTGATTTCCATTTATTTTAATTAGTTTCCCACGTAATTTCCTCGTCCCAGACCGCTGAGCCTGGCAGACCCTGCGGTCGCCTGAGGGCTAGTCACGTACTGACAGGGGGCGAAGGGACGCTGAGCGTGGCTCGGGCGAAGGGACTCCCGGACTCGTTTTCAAAATCCGCTTGATCCCCCCCCCCCCTTTTTGTTAACTGCCGGTGCCTGGGAGGTCTCATGCCACGGGGGCCTTTGTTTAAAGCTTCCATGGCGGCTTTGATGAGGCTGTTTAGAGCTCGCCGGGCTGGTGTCTCGTGCAAGATCTCCGACTAGATAAGGGCAGGTTTAGCACTGCCGATATCTCAAAGGCAGACTGAGTGGCTAAACATAAAATTCCTCTGGGCTGCCCCGCGTATCGTGAGATTGCGAAAGCACAAAACCAGTTCGAAATAACTAGTCGGTAGCGTTTAAAAATTATATTCCAGTCTGAAGTTGCTTAACATGGCTGCGATAATCTTGATATTACGTTCTACTGAAGAAGTCAGAGGAAATACGCCCATTTTCACAAATTCGTTTGGACATGCTTTGTGTGAATGACGAACTTGTGTGTGGTCTGTTTTACAGTTCCCTCTTTTTGATTCCTTTCACAGAGCAGTGGGAGGACATAGGTATTTCTAATAGTGTAAAGCAACAACAAAAATTTGTGATATCTACATCTCTTGTAAGAGGATTTCTTGACATTGTTTCTCATTTTATTTCCAGTTTGAGAGTACACTCTTTATTATGGCTCTGTACTGCTAAAGTTTTGGTGTCTTTAGTTTTTGAGGTTTCATAGCCTACAAGCTAGTTGTAGAGAAACAGTGAATAAGAAAACATTTTTTTTAAAAGAATTTTTATTAATAAGTTTTTTTGGGCTGGTTTTATGTAATGGTAGCTGTTTAAATGAAATCAGGTTAGTTAGTCTTCCTTTCTCACCTGATTCTTGGGGGGGGGGGGAATTACTCCCATGAAGCACTTTTTCTAATTCATGCATAATGTACAGTGTCTCTGATACAGATTTAAAGGTGCAGTATCATGGTTATGAAAGCTTCGGTAGAAGATGATGATTCAGGATGGGAACTCGGTGTGCCTGACAAGATGGAAAAGAGTAATACAAGCTGGATAGATATAACCCAGGATTTTGAAGAAGCTTGTAGAGGTCAGTCGTACTGCTTGTATTCTAAGAAAACTTGGAATCGTTTGGGGGACTAAGCATAGTTCTTTGAGGTGTTTTAAGCAATAGTTTGACCCAGGTTCGAGCTCCAGATGAATGCAACTACCTGTGTTTCCCTGTGTTTAACTTAACTGTGAGGTTGGAAATATCAGAAGAACCTCACCTTGCTTCCTCCTCCAGATTACATAAATATCTTTTTTCAGTCATGTTTTTTCATCTTACACATTTTTGCACCCGCTTTTTTTCTTTGCAAAGGTTTCTTTCTCTCTCTTCTGCCAAATGGAAGCCTCATTCATCCATGCAGAATCAACAGTCTGTTTTTTCCTGTACATTTTTGGATCTGTAGGGTCCAATGATTTATTCATTTAATTGGTCAGTGCATCATTTTTCATCTTTGAAACAAGGCTGAGCTTCTGGGGAGATGCAGTGCATCCCAGTCACAGGGAAGCTGTTGCTTCCATTTAAACGGTGCCTTTATTGTTGTTAGATATTAGTGCTAGTTTACTATGACGACGACTTTATTTTTTCAGCTGATTTTATGATGACATTATGGAAGAATAAATATAAAACTGCAACTTACCACACACAATATTACATAATAATAAACACAATTTCCTTATGCCGTCAAATAATTCCTATATATTAATCATACACTGTTTGTGTACCTATCAAATAGATCTAAAGGCTTCATTAAAAGTAATGAGGAAAAGCAAGCCTTTCAGTAAACTCTCCTGGAGAAAATCAGACATCCGCATAAAACGGCTCTCCTGTGTTCCAGGCTATTCAGATGCTACTCTTTGGTAATTATAAAACCCCTTTAACTGTTGGAATAACAGAAAGGGATGAGGAAAGACTCTGTGAACAACTGGGTTTTTTTAGCCTTTCAGTCTTGAAAGTGCTTTGTCAGTAAAAGCAAATGAAGGTGAAGTAGAAATGTCTGGTCTGCTTCCCACACCTTGTTCTCTCTTAGCATAAGACAGTTTGGTGGGTGACAAGACTATCCTGGAAAAGTTGTGCTAGAAGGATGATTGTAATTGGTTTTCCTATTCTGTTCCTTTGTAGAACTGAAGTTAGGAGAACTGCTTCATGACAAGCTGTAAGTATGCCTGTAAGATAGTTCAGGTTTTTAGATAATGCAAATATGTTAATGTTCACTAATAAGCAAGTCATAATAAACAAGTTGGTATCAACTAAGCTTTTTTAAACTTTTACTTCAAATAAAATAGTATTTAGAATACCACTCGTCTTCAGCAGTATGTATATGATGCACCTGTATGAATGCTGAACGTTTCTTGTCATACCAGTATAACATTACATTTTCAGTTAATCAATGTAGTTTAGAAGTTTATAGCACACCTAATGATCAGTGGTGCTGACACTACTGAACCTACTGAACTATTTTATTGGACATGCTTTTATAAAAAAATGCCAGAAAGACTTTAATATTTTGAATTTGGTTACCTCAAATGTCACTAACAAGTTTAGGGTAAACAATCCATGTGCTTTAACATAACTCTTAAATGACATGGTAAAACAGAAATAGAGAGGTCTACAGATTGAGAAAAAATACACTTCAAAAAAAAGCATGTGCTAAAATCTTGCTGAATTCATTGAAGAATGACGTGAGATTAAAATATTTTAAAGATAAAAGTAAATTGTTTAGCCACACAAGTCTGTTCACTTGCATAAAGAAGAAAGTGCTTATTTAAGACTAATAGCTCAGAAAATGGAAGCACACTATTAAATATATTGCTGCTTAAAAACGTGTGCAAGGATGTCACCAAGTAGTTACTGAGTAGAATCAAAGCATGTTTCTGAGGTGTAATTTTATACATAAGAGCATTTCAGAGCACATACGCTTTTCAGAATTAGAAAGTGCCACACGCAATAACCTTTTTTATATAATAAAGGCTTGTGCAGCAGTTCTGATGAATATCATATATACCAAAGGTGAGGCACTATATCCCTTCTTCTGTAGGGCAGTCTTCATTTGGTGTGGTGCTCCTGCAAGCTTTTATGCCTTGACTACAGGTGATCCATTGTCACATGCTGGGGTTTTTTGTGTCAGTTTTCTTAACATGCCCATTTTAAACAAAGCTGGTATATTCAATGTATATTATTGTCAGTACGTGGCATGTATATTGTCATTAGTTTGTGGGGGACATATGTTACTTGGGTTTTTGGATGTAGCATAATAAAGAACAGCTTGTTCAGTTAATATCAGTTTATTATGTTATGTGATTTTAAAAAGGTGCTTTATCATTATGAGGTGTCTAGAAGCAAGTGTGCATAGATTTAGTAGTGGGATATTTGGCTCAGGAATGTTCTTCAGCTTTAAAAAAAGGCTAAGAGTTTTACTTTTAGGCTTCCATTTTCTTACCTACTTGTTGCGAGATCCTCAAATTCCTGAAAAACATGATCTCTGAAGATCGGTAATAATGTTCACATACCTTACCTTATTGTCTGTAGTCAGAATACAGTGTACGGTTTGTCATTGTATGTTCTTTTACATTGGTTTGTGAAGACTGTTTTGTGTAAAATAATTACATTTAGAACTTTTTTTTATTGGTATTCTTAGTTTTGGTCTTTTTGAAGCCATGTCTGCCATTGAAATGATGGATCCCAAGATGGATGCTGGTATGATTGGAAACCAAGTTAATAGAAAGGTTCTTAACTTTGAGCAAGCTATTAAGGTTTGTGTGACTTTCCTGGTTTTGCCTACATTGTCTGTAAAAGTGCGATATAGTTTTATCAAATTGCAGTTAAGCACAATTCAACATAATTAATGTTTTCAATCTTTACTTAAAATGAATTTTTTCTTTTTTATTTTGGATAGTTAAATAAGAAATAGCTTGTGATGTTTACCTTTTTTGTTACCTACATTAACACAATGTTGTTAACTCTTGCAGTGAAAAGTACTGTGAAATTGTTGGGTATTGATACCTCAGATAAATAAATTTCGGAAATGGTTTTGCAAGTCACCCTGTGCTTCCCCAAAATGTGTCTTTTATATGAACATGTATTGGTTAGTCCCTCTTTAAGCTGAATGGAAACTAGCTTTCTTGCAAAAGCTGGAAATTAACACTTTATGAGACTATCAGTTCATTAGCATTGAACAGAAGCTGGCTAATTTAACAACATTGACAGTAATGATTAACTTTTGATGTGTGGTCAAGATAGACTGGTGGACGGAGGTTGAAAGACTTTCTGTTATGTTGGAAAAAATAATGCACTCAGAGGAAGAAATGGTTTTTACCACGGACCTTGTTTTGAATGGAGTAAAAGAACTCTGTGTAAAATATTGGCCATCTAAGTCATGTAGAATGTATGCAGAATTGCATACATTGGACAAATAAAATCAAAGAAGTAGGTTTGCTGCCTTCTTGGTCCTGACCTTGAAGGCAATAAAATTCTACAGGTACCTGCAGCATAAAAGGCAGTTTTCAAAGAATGGTTCCTGCATATTATTCCTTGTTCAGTCTTTATTATGATTGTACATATTGTTTTGTGATTTAAGTGTTGGCAGTTAACTGGTTTTAAACTTCTATTGGCTACTTATAAATCAGAAATTTTATTTTAGCTTACTCTTTGAATAGCTTTATGTTTGATCAGTGTTGAACACAATGACGGGAAAGCAAAGACTTCCCGAATTTGAGGCACATTATGAAGCTGATCAATAAAGCTAGTGGTATACAAATATCCTGAAGTTTTGATCAAGTTGTAGTTTCCTTTTCAGCTATACAAATAATAAGTTGTATTTTGCCTATAGTCTTCCATAGTCTTTAGGTTTTTTTCTTTCTTTGTTTTCTAAGGATGGCACCATTAAAATAAAGGATCTCACTTCACCTGAGCTGGTAGGAATAATGGATACATGTTTTTGTTGTTTGGTAAGCATTTCTCTGCTCTTAAAGTTAGATGGTTTTGCTTTCAAAATATAATCCTTTAATCTAGTTTAAAAGAAGAAAAAACAGTAGAACTCGAGAAAAAAGATTCATCGAGTGGAAAATAAGTACTTAGTATTTTAATTTCCATTTAGGTACTTGTATTGGCTATTGTAAGAGGCATAATTTTGATTTTTTTTAAATTTTTTTTTAATTATAAGAAATGGTTATGAAAGAGAACTGGTAGCATTTTGAATCAAGTAAAAAGGTTTTATAATTTGTGTGTTTTAAATGCATGGTATCTGACTGCCTGCTGCATAGTGGTGTTTGTGTTGGAAAGTGAGTGTGCAGTAACTTACAGCACTCAGTTGCTCATTTCTGTACAGTCAATATTGACTGAGCTTACAGTGGCATTTTGAATAAAGGAAAGAAAATGCTGAAATCCGTTTAGAGGAAATAAGTGAATTATCAGTTATTTGGTAATTGTGATTACCAAATAATTGTGATTTTCTATGTATGTCTTAATTTCCTCAGTAAATGATAGAAATTATTTTCAGTTACTCTTTAAAATGACATCAATAAAATTACTTTGTTTTTTAAAACAACATTTCAAACTGCTTTAGTCCAAAAAGACATGCAAAGGTCACTGTATATTTGATATTGTGTAACATAATTTGTCTTCTTCCCCTCCCTGCCCCCACCAATACTGACTTTTTTTTGAAAAGGGACAGTGGTCATGTTAAAAATCTGATCCTGCTGTGGCTTATACTATTTCAAGATAGAAATAATTGTTAAAATTACTGAAGCTTCCCCTGTAGCTTAAAGCAGCATGAAAGTAGTAGAAATAGGGAATCGTGAAAAGAAACCGTAAGTTGTAGAAGAGAACATGCAGAATATTGCCGAGTTGTTTCATAGCCACTTGCATTTTTCATTCAGTATTTATATAGAGAAAGATTCTAAATCTGGTGGTCTCTTAACTTAATGTCATGTGTAAGTCATAGAGATTAGACCTGAACTTTGTGGAAGAGGTTTATCCAACACCAGAATCTGGTGGTGTTATAGGGTTTAGTAACTTACTGCCTGCCACAGCCAGCAGATGAACAAAGGTTAAAGGTTCGGAGACCTTCTCTTGCCCTTTTTTGCTAGATGGAAGGTTGCCATGATAGGGACTTCCTTAGTGACTCAGTGAAGCACAGTAAGGTGGAAAAAGAATGGAAATATAAAAATGAGGACTTGGCTGTCATGAGTAAAACATTTAATTTTCTTTTCCCTAGATAACATGGTTAGAGGGACATTCCTTGGCACAGACCGTATTCACGTGCCTTTATATTCATAATCCAGACTTTATAGAAGATCCTGCTATGAAGGCTTTTGCTCTAGGGATCCTAAAAATCTGTGATATTGCCAGAGAAAAGGTTAACAAAGCAGCTGTTTTTGAGGAGGTATGTGTTTCAATATCTCCTATGGTTAAATATGTAACGTTATACATAGGCTCCATAATGCAAAAACCCCAGTATATTAGAGAAATTTATTACTGTTTGGTTGGAGGATACTGTAGGACCATTAGTTCATCCCCCTAAAAGTATTAGACCTGATCTTTTTAAAATGCAGTTTTCTTCAATGAAGGTGTTTCATGCTCTTTTCTGTATTTTGCTGGAATATTGGAGTCACATATTTTACACAATGCAAGCCTTGTGGCTAACAATTTGAAATCAGTTTTACTTGTGGTTATCTTCCTGTTTAATCTTTTATTTTTCTACTTTAAATAACCATGATTGTCTTTTGTCTGAAATGTCCATGTAGCAATGGAATCAGAATCTGGTTTTCTGAACTCATAGCAATTTTTGTTTCCTCTGAGTTTGGATGAGTCACTTCTTACTGACTATATCTAAAATTGGTTAAGTTTGTATCCATAGTTCTTGTAACATTTTGATAGGGTGGCACCTGATGCAAATATGAAGGGCATATTGTTACTAAGGATTTATGCAGAAAATAACTACCCCAAGCTGGATTTGGGCAGGAAAGTCACCCAAACCATGGGTGTATCCAGTTGTGCAGAATAAAACTGGACTTTTATATACTTGATGTTAAACAAAACCACCCCAAAACAAAAAAAAAAACCCCAGCAGAACAAGAAAACAACCCCAAAAAACCAAAACAACCAAAAAGAAAACACCAAACCCTAACCTGAAAATGTAACTACTACTGTTTACATTTCACTGCATATTGCCTCTTTGATATTTATTTTTTAGGAAGATTTTCAGTCAATGACTTACGGATTTAAGATGGCCAACAGTGTGACAGATCTTAGAGTTACAGGTACAGTTTGTGCCTCTGTGTATCTTCCATCAGTCTCCTCTGTTGAGCATGTTGGTTACTGTCAACCAAACCTAATGAATTGGTAGGAACCTCAGATGTAACGTTTTTCTATTAGTCTTGTGAAAGTCAGTGGCTTGGTAAAAAGACAGATCAAATTATTTTTCCTTGAAGAGAAGGTTCAAGGGGTTTTTTTAAATGTGTGAGAAGCAAAAGAAGTGCTTTTAGATGTGCCAGCCAAGTGCCTGGGCACAAGCTCATCCAGGTCTGGGACAGACACAAACCATTGGAAAGTGCACTGCTTGAATTCTGTTTCTCTGCCTCACAATTTGTTGTGATCTGAACAGATTGCTTTTGAGGAAAAAGCAATCTGGTAGTTCTAAAGCTATGAATACGTATACTATTAGGTACGTACATAAGTATGTGAGTAAGCCTTTCGATGTGCTATGATACACACTTGAGCTTTCCATTGATTCATTTTTAGAAAATTTGTGAACACTTTAGCTTTGGATCAGTCAGTTTATACTCTGATTTATGTATTCTTGCGAGGAATCCCCACCGTCCCTCACAAGAATATTTTTTGTCTAGTCTTTGGCTAATGGGTATGTAAAGCACTTCAAAACTTGATTTCCCCTCAAAACCTTTTTCCCCTGAGTGCTGTAGGTGTACCTAGGAATGCTTCTCAGCTTTTAATTTTACTGTGGCTTTTCCAGGTATGCTAAAAGATGTAGAAGATGACATGCAAAGACGAGTGAAGGTATTTTTCTCATGTTTGCCTTGTCAGTTATACTTAAAGTGTACTTAACATAGGTTTGGGGGACGGACTTGGATTATGAAGAATGTGGCAGTTTTGTGTCATTAAATGGTGCTGGTTTTTTCTGGAGAACTGCCATAATGGTTTGCATAACATGGTGGTAGTTTGCCTTGTAGCTAAAGATGCTGAAGTCTTCAGACTCTTCTAAACTCTTTAGTAGTTGCTTCACTAGTAATAGGTGGAATTGTGATGTAGAAGATAACACTGGGCTGGAGCACAGAAAATATGTATTGAATTTCTGGCTTTTACACAGATACACTAATCACTTAATCTTCCTTTACCACACTTTACAATATGAAATGTTCATTCCATTTCCTTGCCTATTTGCAGAGTGGACTGAGATAGGTCTCATTACGATAGCAGAGTCTTGGATCATTCAGGTACCTAGATTCTATATTAAGAGGCTTTGAAATTGCAAACTGACTTTTAGGGTTATTTAACAGATGGATGTTCTGGAGAGGGTAAAGGAATTTTATTAGTAGCTTCCCTTTGCAATTTTTAATAAATTATTTGAAATTCCTTTACCTTCTAGAGTACTCGAAGTCGACAAGGAGAAGAGAGAGATCCAGAAGTTGAACTTGAAGTAAGGAATTGTTTGCTTTTTTTTTTTTTCTGGATTTCATGGATTAGTAGTACCTCATTACTTTAATCAGTAGTTAACAGCTTGTGAGAAATGTGTGTTGCCAATGTTGCTACTACTGTCATATCTGAGCTGTTGTAAACAAGGCCCTGAGCAAATCTGAGGCTAGCAGGTAGGCTTTTACGCTTTGAAGGGGTAGAGTTCTGCATCAATCCCAACAGCAGAATAGTGATGCTGCTGCAATTCTGCCATTTATGCACCTACCTCTCAAGAAAAAGTCATCAGCAAAGTGGATGATCTTACCTATCCTGTACCTTCTTCCCTCAGTTCCTTCCGAGCAGCTTTTCCTACTGCTGGCAGCCTCACTGTCAAGGGAGAAAGTAGAAAGAGAAAATGAAAGCAGTGTAGCTCCTTCCAGGAAAAAGTGGTAATTGATGTAGTTGATGTGGTTGATTTAGAAGGGTGTGAGTTTCCTTTCCCAGTAATGTTATTTTCTTCAGAAATAACTTTTAACGTATATCTTCAGCAAAAAGGACAGAAAATTTGTTTAATAATTTGTGGTTGTTCACTTAAGCTGAGATGTGAATGGCATTTGCTTAGGAGATAGCTATGCAGCCAGTGGCTGTGCTTTACCCAAATTATCTTAGTAATTTTTGTGTTAGTGCTTTTCTGACAGCAGTACAGATTTCTTCTATAAATCCCATAAATTTTCTTCAGAATCATATTAGATACCATATTTTTAAGACTAGAGAGCGTACTTTAATGAATCTACAAATTTTTTTTAATAAGTTTCAGGATTTAATGCATATTGCTTAGTAATTTGCAGTATATTTTTATTACAGCATCAACAGTGTTTAGCTGTGTTCAGCAGAGTCAAGTTTACCCGGGTACTACTGACTGTTCTAATAGCATTTACCAAAAAAGAGGTATGTTCATTTGGTGTTTCTGTGTTCGCAGTGTGATCCTGTGAAATACTAATTTTTTGTTCGTTAAGGTCAAGCAATTATTCTGTAGATTCTGCAGATTTGAACTGATGTTGCTGCAGGTAAAGCATTGGATAAGGCCTTACAGTGGCAACCATTCAGTTTTCACTCATTTTTGAAGAAAACACAGGAAAAGATAGTAACTGACACTATTGTGGCCTTGCAGAGAGACAGAATGTCCATTCTAGAACACTTGAAGAAAAATATTTATGGGTTTTGTTTTACTCTTTTCAAACACTTGAGCAAAACTTTTCTTTCTCAAGTTTTGTGGAGTTACCTGGCATCGAGCAATGTTTTGTCCATCTTTAGAGAGTTGTAAGCTTTTCCTTCCATGTGATATTGAATTTGTATCTAGACTTCTTTGGTCCGAGAAGAGGAATATAACAGCTTTCCAAGCAATTTGCCTGCCTGTTTGAATACAAGATTTCCTAATTGTTGAGGAGGGAAGGAACTGCATGTTTTAGGGCAAAGGGTAGAATGGCATGTCACATAAGACAAAGCTTTTTGTCTGAATAGCTTTTTGTTTATACAGGGATAAATATCTGTCTATTGCTTATTGTTATTTCCGTTTTCATAAAGAAATAAACAAGCTTCTTGCTTAAGCGGCATGGAGTCTTTCCCACATATTTTTGCTGTTGGAGCAGCTGCATACTTTACCATCTAAAACCCCTTGATTAAATTGAAAGTCACGTGTCAGTATCATAGATAGACATCAGTGTTGAGGAAAAAGTGATCGAGTAGTTGCGAACAATTGCATTCTGAGTATAACCATTATTTATATCAGAAATCAAATTGTGACAGAGAAGTGATGTACATTGATATACAAGCAAATTCGGTGTTAACTGCTATGAGTTAATGATCTGTGCAAAATCAGATTATCTTAGTGTCGCTAAAGTCTGATTACTTAAAGTATAAGATATTTGCATCATGGACTACTTTGATATCAATTATATCTACTTAGCTTATTCTTTTAGTAGATTTGTGGATGCTATAATATGTGAACATTTATTATGCAGAGCTACAGATCTTGTGTGGCTTCTGTTAGATCTTCAGGGGGTTTTAAACATCTTTTTTTCTGAAAGAAGTCAAGTTTCAATTTGACTTGAGATTTTAAATATTTGAAGTTCCATCAGGGATTGTTAGTCCAGTATTTTTAAAACAAGATTTTAGGTTTTAGAGAGAGCTATTTTAAATAGCACCCAGTTTGCTAACAGATTTGGATTCACAGGATATCACAAAATCCAGCATGTCAGCAGATCATGAATCGAGATTTCTAATGGACCTCTGGTATTTTTTAATGTTCTGATGTGTACAGTGATTTCATTAAGGTTGGTAGGTTGTATTTTGTCTATATTCTTAAGAATTCTGCATTTTCTAATGATAGGAGATTTTTTTTCCTCTTTGGAGTTCTGCCTCATTTGGCAGAAGAGTTTTGTGGGGTTTTTTGTACCTCCCCCCGCCCCGGCCAGTCAAAAGTAGAGGACTTGCATGTAGCGTATACTAGACTTGAAGCTGTAACTATTGTTAAGGCTTATGTTATATAGCAAAAAATACAGTATTAAACGTAGGCATAGATACGTAAAATATAAAGAACACTTTATTGCACAAAAATCTGTACGAACATTCTTCTGATACTAGCATTAATACTGTAGTCAAAATATGTTGGTTCGTAATGTGAATAACTGTTACCTGCCTTTCAGACGAGTGCTGTTGCAGAAGCTCAGAAACTAATGACTCAGGCAGCTGACTTGCTTTCTGCCATCCACAATTCATTGCATCATGGTATCCAGGCACAGAATGATACCACTAAAGGAGGTATGTATCAGATTTTGCCATTTTTCCCCTTTCTTAAATATGCTGTCTTGATAAACTTTAATATCTATGTGTATTTAAAAAAAATCACTGTTTACTTTGAACTAATAATACTTGTAATACAAGCTGTTACAGATTTGCATTGTTTGATCTTAATTTTATTTCACTAAATGATGGTTCTCCTGAAAGCAATACTGTCACTTCAAAGCCAGAGATAATATGAACTTTCAGTTAGTGTATTGTACTTCAAATCAGTGTATATGCCATTTTAAAATAGGGAACACCACCTCACCGTACAGGTATATGCTGAGCTGTTGAGGGTTGGGGTTTTTTAAATAGTACTCATTGCCTCAGCTGGGTAGTTAGTGTCTCTGGAAGTTAACTGTCAGTTAAAAAGTTCATTATGGCCAGTTGAATAATTTGTATTATACTTTCAAATTTGAAGTGAGTTCTGAAACAACAGCTTATATGCAGATTTTCTCTCTCTTTCTTTTTCTCCCCACTCCTCCTTCATTAGATCATCCTATTATGATGGGCTTTGAGCCCCTTGTTAATCAGAGATTGCTGCCACCAACTTTCCCTCGATATGCAAAAATAATTAAAAGGGAAGAAATGGTCAATTATTTTTCCAAACTAATAGACCGAATAAAAACTGTATGTGAAGTAGTCAACTTAACTAATTTGCACTGTATACTGGTAAGCATGAATATTTCTTATTTATAGCCAAAAATAAGATCTTAAAATGTAACTTGCAAAAAATCATTCCATATAGGCATGCTGTTGCTCACTGGAGAAAAAACTGAGCTGTATGTATAAATCTTTTGGTGTTTCTCATTGTTGTGTACAGTTTCAAAGTTTGCTGTCTTTCCTGATACTTAATATTTTTCTTTTTTTGACAAAGACCTTTCCTCCTGCCAAACTTCCCATTTTTCCTATAATTTCTTAAATAATTATATATGTTAGTGGCAGAGCCCAAGCAAGTTAATTTCCTTGTAACTCTTTCTTTGGTTGAAGAGCTGGATCTGCAGTAGCAGAACATAAATCCTTGCTATATTCCTGACTTTTCCAAATTCATTAAGCAGTATTCTGCATATGTGCCTATAACAAAAGAGGGCACTTAATACATGTTTGTTTAAGCGTGTAATTCCCTGAATAGGCATAAAGTTAAGCACCTGCTTATATTCTTTCGTGAATAAGTGATGTTATTCTCAGTTACTGCCTACATTTATTAGAAGACACTTAAATGCTTTAAATATTTTTTACAGTACATGCATTCATTGAGAAAAGAGCCACAGTTACATCAGTTCAAAGATCAAGCAAAAATCTTTTGTCTTCCTATTTCCTGTTAAATGAATAAAAGCAGTGTTTGCATGAAGCACCTGGTACCAGTTAAACATTGCAGTTTTGTTACATACCTGCTTCAGTTATGTTGTGATCTTAGCAGTTTCACAGTACCTTTTTTCTATACTGTTATCCTTTTAATTGTTGTATCTGAAGAAGAAAATTCAGAAACATTTTATTCTGTTAAATAACAAGTAATTGCAGAAAAAATAGATTTTAGCTTCATGTTCTGTTTTGTTCAAATGATTCATGCTTACTTTCTTACAAGTTGTATAAGCCATGCTATGTGTATGTATGTGTGTTTGTGTGTACAAAATATAGGTGTATTTACACAATTTTATGTATATGTTTATATAAAAATGCAAATGCATGTTTGTCTATAAAATTGTAAATATGTGTATGTGTATATATAAAAAATTGGCATGTTAACCTGAATTGTCTTTTTTTTTTCCTAAATGTAAATTAGGATTTTTTCTGTGAGTTTAGTGAGCAATCACCGTGTGTTCTTTCAAGATCCCTGTTACAGGCAAGTCCTAATCTATGTCTTTGAATAAAATACTTCTGCGTTCATTAAAAATATGGATTCATCTTCTTGTTGCAAATATTTAAAGTATTTGCATATCATTTAATAATATATAAGTGGTAAAATATTTTCTGGAGATACTTAAGTATTAGGTATATGGAGGCTTATGTTCTGACCTAATTTTTTAAAACATTTTTAAATACTGTTGTTTAGATCATGTTAGTACATGCTAATTAAAACAGAAAGTGCTAAAATTTTTTCTCTGCCATAAAGCTGGGCCTGTAGATGCATTTTTATGCTGTTCTCTGTATGCTGTCTCTGTTTGGGGCTGGTGTTTTCATTCATCTTCCCTGTTTGGACTGAATTTCATGTATAGACTGCCTCTATTGCTAGAACAGTAAAACTGATGGTTAGGGCAGAACAGGCTACTACTTTTCTTCTCACTGCTTCACTTACCTTGAATGTGTATTATATATTCCTCAACTCAAGAGTAAAATATACTTCCTTATAGGACATTTTGATTTGAATAGGGTGTCCCTGGACATCAGAACTCCCTTATATTTGATCCCAATTAAACCATGTATAAAGCTGATCAAATATAACTATTGGCAAGTAAAATGTTTTCATAGCGTGTGTATTCTGACTTTCCACTACATGCATTTGTGCAGTCTCTGAGTGCCTGACAGCAGAGCTTTTTCTCCAGCTGCTGATGAACCATGTAAGAAAGGGACAGAGCTCAGGGAAACCATATAACCTATTTTATGTTAATCTTCAGAAACATCTGTCTGATTAATCGTCTTTAAAGTCCAAGAAATAAAATCATTTTGCATGCATTGTCTTATGAAAGTAATAGAACTGTATTTTGTGTCATGGGAATACCACAGAAGTGACAGATCTCAATATGCCACTGTTTCTGAGACTGTAACCTTGTACCTAGCTGAACCATTTTAATTCTTAAAGCAGTCTTACAAGTTTCTAATATAATACAGGTACTGTAAGACCTTTCAATTAGTAATTTCTAATGCATTACTTTCAACTTAAAACATGTTTCTAAAACGACATTTTCACTTTCAGACAACTTTTCTGGTAGATAACAAGAAGGTGTTTGGCACTCACCTCATGCAAGACATGGTAAAAGATGCTTTAAGGTCTTTTGTCAGTCCTCCAGTACTTTCTCCAAAGTAAGTGGATCTCGAGTTTACTTGCATGTGGTTACATGTCTGATGAAAAAATATTTCTGCTTACAAAAGCAAGGACAGACATGTAAAGAACATACACATTTTGTACTTATTAGTGCTTATGTATGAAGGAGTCAGTTGCTGTTGCTGCTTTCGGGTTGGTTGTTTTTTTTTTTAATTTTGTGCTACATAGACTGGTCATGTTTATAAGCATGTATGTAGGTGGATATTTGCCTTTTAGGTGTTGTCTTTATAATAATCACCAGGCGAAGGACTACATTGATTCCTTTGTGACACATTGCGTTCGGGTAAGTGTTCATTCCAATTACAGCATGTTTATGTGTATATGAGCTCTTTCAAGATTTGCTAATGTTTGAAAATGAGACCAGGTTTTTTTAGACACCTAACGTGAAAGCAAAATTGCAGAAGTTGGCCATCTTAAAATGGTAAACACTTTTTAAAAAGCCAGTAGAATTACTGCTGTTTGTTTCCTGTATTATGCTTCCATATTTTTCACAAACACTTCATTAGAAATCTGCACCTACTACCCCTTTATAGGGTAGTTTCATGTCACCAAACAAATGCATAGCACTATAAACAAAATTAATTTTACATTCTCTCCAGCTTAAAAATGTTAAAAATTGTTTTAAAAGATTCAGGTTTTGAATGCAGCACAATGAAAATCTAAGAAAATAATAGAATCATTTTGGTTGGAAAAGACCTGAAGATCATCGAGTCCAACCATTAACCTAGCACTGC